GGGGGGGGGGGCGAGACGGAGTGCGGCGGCCTGCCAATGATGGCATGGCTGTGAAGGGTCCAGCGCCATCGCTGCCCTCGCACTGGCCCGCCCTGTTGTCGCTCGTAGTGGATGCCTGACGGTGCCACGCCCTCCTCCCGCGCCGCGCTTGCACCCACAGGTCCGCCGCGGCGACGCCACCGAGATGGCCTTCATCGAGCTGGTCTGAGCCGACTCGACAGCCGTCTTGGACAGGCAGCACCCTGTCGCGCGCCCAGCGGCGGCCGCACGCACGCCCCACGTATGCACGGCGGCGGCGGCGGCGCTTGGGGCAATGCGGGCGCGCAGCAGGTGGCGGCCACGCAGCAGCTTTGGGTGGGGCGAGCCTCGGCTCGTGAGTCATAATAGCACTGGGCTGGGCTTTGCTAGAGCCACTCGCAGGCTCGTGTCGGCGTCGATCCTCAATTGCGGATGCGCCTGGGCGTGCGGGCCGTGGTGCCGGTGTACATGCAGCGCGCGTGTAACCGGTTCAAGCACACCCCCTGTGACTGCATTATGACTGATAACCCTGCTGGGCCTGTGGAGACCGCGCCGGGTGCACAGCGGCCAGCCCAATTTTGGTTTAAAGACCCGCAGCGGTCAACGGCGGTCAGGGAAAGAGACTAACCTGCCGCTGCTGCGCGCCTGCCTGCAACAGACAGTCCTCCTTGCAAGACAGCAGCTGCCAGCTGGCTGAATCTGTCCCTCTTTGTGCTGTGTGCGCCAGTATCACGCCCACTGGGTCACCAGCCAAGCGCTAGCCTGAGGCAGCCGCACAAGCCGGACGCGCGCGGCCAAACAGAGCGCATGGCTGGAGCAAGCGTGCCGTGCCCGAAGTTTACAGAAAGGCATGCTGCACAGTTGGCATTTTTTGCACGACAGGGGTGAGAGGTGGCTGCGGCAACCATATGCAGGCTGCCACAACCAACACCAGCCAAAGGGGGGATTCCATGAAGAGCAACCCAGTTCAGCACCGTGAACTGTGGTGGGCTTTGAGGACCAAGTCACATCACCGGCACACAAGATAAAGGGGGGTTTTCAAGGAGTATATCACGCCCTTGGGCTGTGATTCGGTTTGCGCCGCCCTTGTGCGCTCCCGCGTGACTGGATGCGCGTACGGGCGGTCACTCTGCAGTTGAGCTGGCTTGGGGGCAGGGAGGCGCCACCGAGGCCAGGGCACGCGGGTGCTTTGAGCCATATGGGGACGAGGGCCTCATCCATGAGCAAGTTCTTAGGGAGCGCATCCATTCATCCACACTTGAAGGTGAAGTGCATGACCGTCCAATCAGCGCGCAGCCGCCGCCTTGACCATGGGTGCGACCTCCTTGCCTGTGCCAGCCGTCAGGCAGCAGTGCGCTGCACCGGGCGCCCTCACAGAAGCAGCGCGGCCAGGCCTGCCGCCGCCAGCGTCAGCCCTCCGGCGGACGCGGCGCCGGCGGCCGACTTGGGCGCCGCAGGCTTGGGCGACGCGGCGGCCGGGGCGTCGGCGGCCGGGGCGGCGGCAGCCTTGGCGGCGGCGGCCGGGGAAGCGGCGGCCTTGGCGTCAGTGGGGGCGGGGGAGGCGGCGGCCTTGGTGCCGGCGACCGGGGCGGCGGCGGCCTTGGCGTCGGTGGGGGCGGGGGAGGCGGCGGTCAGCTTGGCGGGCGTCTTGGCCTTGGCGCAGGCCGCGGCGGCGCAGCCCGGGTTGATGGTCACTGTGCTGGTGGCCGCGTTGAAGCCCTTGCTCGAGCCGGCGGCGCTGGTCGTGCGGAGCTGGGCGCTCGCTGCAAAGCGTGGGAAGGGAAGAGGAGCGCGCAGTTAGGGACGGATGGGCCGCGGAATGCAAGGGAAGCCAGTGCTGTGTTCCACACGGGTCTGGCCAAGGATGTGCGCGGCCGCAAGGGGGGGCAGGGGATTGGGCGGCCGCTTTTTGCGCTGGACGCGGGTGCCGGGGCGCGGGCCCCTGGCGCGCGGCTGGCTGGCTGGCTGGCGGCGGCGGCGGCGGCGGTGCGCAGCGGGCGGGAGGAGGGCGTACCCGGGGCCTTGCAGGGGACGTCCCACTTCAGGGCGGAGGAGGCGGTCTTGTTGGCCGTGCCCTGCATGAAGCAAATGAAGGAGACCAAGCGTTTGGCGCGTCCCCAAGGTCGCATCTGGATCAATTGTGAAAGCCCTCAACTGGCCGGGGGCATCGGGGCTGCCGGGCCACGAGGCGTTCATGCATGTGGCACTCACACACCCCGCCAGGGCCAGGCACAGGCTTTGCGTGCACGCACTCGCCAAGAGCCCTCCAGGCCCGGCAGGCCAGGCAGCCCTGTCAGCAGCGGGCCGCGCCCGCCGCCACCGGCCGGCGCGAGGCCCGGGGCGGCGGCGTCACTCACGTAGTACCAGACGCGGCCGGGGCAGTCCTTGTCGACGGGCTTGAGGACGCCCTTGTCCTGGGAGCCCAGGACGCCCACGCTGGCGGTGGTCAGGGGCAGGCGCGCCTCGGGGTAGAGCACCTGGAGGGGGTGGGGGCCGGGGTTGAGATGGGCAAGTTTGTCACTCGGAGCCGCATCTGTGCCTGTGTGCGTCAGTGTGTGTGTGTGTCAGCAGCTAGCCGCGTAAAATTCTCAGGCAATGTGCCACTCGGGCGCAACGTGCAACGCGGGGGCCCCTGACGTCGGCGACTCAGCGAGAGGCAGCGGCCTTTAGGACCGGCTCCTTCACACTCCCAAGGCTGTGCACAGAGGAATGTGTGCATGCATTCCTGCACCAGCTGCACTTCAAACGGGCGGCGGCTCTGGCGGCCGCGTGCAGGCCGGGGCCCGTGCTTTGTCACACTGCGCGTTCCAGGCGCCGCCGTCGCCTCTCGCGCACCGTGACGCTGTAGGAGACCCCGGGGCAGACGGTCTGGACGGCGGCGCCGGCGGCGTTCTTGATCACAAACTTGATTGCGCTGAGGAGGGTCGGGGTCCAGGAGCAGAGGGGGGCAGGCAGGGGTGGGGCAGGGGGCTTGATGCACAGCACAATGGCCGATGAGTAATCCGTGGCAGTCCAGCGGGGTGCATCACAAATGGGTCACCGAGCCCCTGCATCTGTGACCAGCCGGGACCAACTGCATCGGATAGCATTCGGCAGCACTTGCTACGTGACTTTTGCTGGCGCACAGCAGCAGGCGCGTGGGAGTGAGCATGCGGCGGTGGTTGCGGTGCATGACGCAGAGGCGGCACTAGTTGCCGCGCACGACGCATCGATGGTGGCGGCGAGGTGTGTTCACCTGTCCGTCGTGGGAGCCTTGTGGCCGGACTCTGCGTTTGGTCCGAGAAGCTAGGGGGTGTGAGGCGGCTGTGTAACCCGTGGCCGGTGATCTGGAACGCCATAGTTTCCCATGCGACATCGCACCTTTAGTGGTGGGATGCGCGAGGCATCCCTTCTTCTCCGCGACCCAGAGCCCGGGGTACCCCAGGGCGACCTGGATGCACGCCAGCAGCACAAGCAGCGACACGGCGCGCATGGTAGACATTGCGAATAAGGTATGACAACAACACGGCAAGCAATGCTGGGTCTCGGGTATGGAGGACTGCCGGGCGTGGCGGTGGAATAGGTACAGTATCTACCGGTGGTGAGAGATGATGACGCCTCACGAAGGCGGCTGAAGCATTGCCGCTCGACGCCCGCATGGTGTGCAGCACGCAATCGTCATGAAGCTGTGAAATTGTTCACTCATATGTGAAGCGGCACCCGCATGCGATCGCGGCTGTCCTGTTGCGCGGCCCGCGCGGTGGCCAGGCCAGCTCCCCACCAGCTCCCCACCTCCCCCTGGAAAGTAGCCATGGGCATGCAGCTGGGCTGTGTTTGTCATGCATCGTGCAAGATCTTACATCTAGCAGCATCCAGCTGGTCTGCGTATTGACTTTAATAGCATGGTGTTGCTGCTGACAAACTGGCCCATGTGACTGCAGTAGCACCACTTGCAGAAGGCTGCACTTACCCACCCCAGCCATCAGCCACCCCTCAGGCCCACTCCCTCAACCAAGCATTTCCACTTGCTGGCCTTATCCTGTTAATCATATGGCAGGGATCATTTACATGCCCTTGACAGATGCAAAGATGGGCCACCACTTGCCATGAACTCTTGTTGGAGGATCTCAGGATCCAAAAGACACAGAGGCGCTGCTCTGACAGCTCCCAATGGGGCTGCGGCAACGCGCCATTGCCGGGCACATGCATAAAGGGTGCAGGAAAAAGAGACGTGCCCACTGCTTGCAATGATTGATTGCGTTCAGCCGTGCACCAACCTTTGGATCAAACGAGGTACAGTATCTCATATCCCGCCCATCACAGCCATGTGAATGACGCTGCACGAATGAGGGCCATTTGAACCATACGGGCGTGCATTGTTCACGCATGTATCACCACAATGTGAAACCACGGGATCGCCAGAGGCAGGTGGGCCTTGCTGGAACCCTGACTCGTCACATGCCACAAGGTGTTTACAGGGCAAGAGCCAGGAGCCCAGCCACAACCAGAGTGACGGCTCCGGCGGCAGCGCGGCTCGCGCTGCTCTTGGGGGCAGTAGTGGCCGGGGCAGGGGATCCAGATGCAGGGGAAGCGGAGGCAGGGGAGGTCGTGTTGGCGGCCGCCGCCACCGCGGCGCTCGCGTTGGCAGCAGCGACGGTGACGGCCTCTGTCGCGTTGGCAGTGGCTGCGGCGATGCCATCGGTGGCGTTGGCGACGTCATCGGTGGTGTTCGTGGCGCTGGCTGGGGTTGCAGCCTTAGCAGCGGTGGTGGTGTTGCCGGCGGTCGCGTTGGCGGCGGCGGGGGCTGCCGCAGCGCGCGCAGGCTTAGCAGCAGGGCTGACGGAGGGCTGCATTAGCAGGGTTGGGATAGGGGGGCAAATGCAGGTCAGTGGGTGACGCCAGCATCAGCGATGACTCTGGACCGCAGCCAGTCACATGGGACAATCCCCATGGCACGCTTTGGCGGCGGCCTGCTGAGCTCGCGCCGGCCCTGAGAGTTCAGCCCCGCCTGTCCGAGTTTGTGTGCTCCACTGCACGCAGCCTTCGACAATCACAGCGGCTGCGACTGGAACAAGAGCACCGCTGGCGCAGCAGGCAACCCCCTTGATGGAGCGCGTCCGCGTCCGCCCAAGGCAACCAAGGCAACAATGAAGAGCAAAACACAGGGAATCACAACTCAGGTCGGTTCACGCACCCATCAAAGATGTGCGCAACCTGAACCACGAGGTGGTGGTCGCCGGTTTCAGAAGCAGCAAGAGCAGCACCGAAAAATACGCCCCTCCGCACCTTGGCGTCCTTGTCCTTTGCAAACGCGTCCACCACGGGCGCCGCGGCCGTCGATGCGACCTTCGCGAGGTTGGAGGAGTTGCCCTGCTTCTGCGCGGCGTTCACGGCGGAGACAGCGGCGCCTGCGGCGGCCTGGGCGGCCCTGTTGGCCTCGTCCTTGCTGCCGCCCTGCTTCACCACGTTCTCAGCGGCCTTCTGGGAGACCTGGGAGCGCATGGATCAAAGGGGGAGGGGCACGAGCACGGCGCAAGGGGGCGGTTGGAAGGGCAGGTGGAGTGGTTTGCTGGCGCTGGTGGGGCTTGTCATGGAAGCAGCCCGTTGCTGGCACCAACTGGGGGTGACGTGCCGCAATCCTGAAAGGCCTGCCAATCAGCCCTTAAAACACTGCAGCCTTTTCATAATGTCTTGCATGTCCAGATCCTGAGGGGCGTCATCACAAAAGCAGGCCTGCAAAGTAGGCCTGCAATGCTCGAAGTAGGCTGGCGGTGCACGCATGCACCCACCGAGCTGACCACAGACTGCACATCGCTCTTGAGGCCGGTCACGCCACTGGGGTTAGCAGTCTTGGAGATTGCTGGCAGGTTGGCCACGGCCTAGGGGTCGTTTGGGGGAGGGTTATGGCGGAGAAAGGGGATTGTGATAAAGTAACAGGGCAGGGCCGGGTTAGCGGCAAGGGGCAGGCAGGCTTGAATGAAGGTGAGAGGCGGCGACGGGGGACCCTGCAAGAGACGCTGGGTGGGCTGACGGCGCTTGACTAGGTGGATAAGTGGAGGTCGCTGTGGCTTGCCAGTCACATACTTGGTGCGCAAAGCCTGCTGCCGAGCAGGGTTTGCAGCCAGGGCAGCCATCAGGCGGGCAGGCAACCGCCTGGCCGTGTGCTTCGGGCATAAGAGGCGGCCGGGCCGGCTCACATTGTTGAGGGCGGCGGCGGCGGCGTTGCGGGCAGCGGCGGCGATCTGGGCGTCCGTGGTGCCGGGGCGCGCGGCGGCGTTCTTGGCGCCGTTGGTGGCTGCCTCCGCCACCTGCTTGGCGGCCAGGTTTGCCGCGTTCTGGTCGCCGCCCTTTGCAATGATCTGGCGGTTTGGTGCCGTATGGTTGCGCAGGGGGATGTCAAGTGTCGCAGGAGCACGAGCATTGAAACATTGTGCAGGAAGTTTGAGAGCGTGTGCATGTGCATGCAGAGCGCGCAAGGCATGAATGCAACCGCTAGAGCATGCCAGCCGTGAAACAAAATTTACGGCCCACCGTGTCAGCAGTCTTTGATCCGTACTCGCTCAGCACAGTCTGGGTCGCAGCACCCCCAGGCAGCTGCAGCAGGCTGCGCGCGGACGCGCCCGCGCCTACAATGCAGCGAAAGGGGAGGAGGAGCGTGGCAGCGGGCGGGGGTGTCAGGAGGGCGGCGATGCCACGCCGCCAGGGGCGCTGCGGTCTCCCGCAGCACGACTCCATGCTGCGGTTGTTGCACCCTGCAGCGGCTGCACAGGAAGGATCTTGTTTGAGAGAATTCCCACAATGCAATCTACCCCGCACGTAGTCAACGACCACTCACACAGCGCAGCGACCACTACGTACACCGCGAAGGCCTTCATTGCGAAAGAAAGCGGATGCTGGGTAAAAAGAATGCTGAGAGGTTTGACAATGCTTGATGGAACAAACACTGGGCTTGACGCTGCAGGCGGGCTGAAGCATGGTCCATGCTTCGGGTTACACCTTTGCCCAACGGTTGCCCGGTAATCCGTGAACGGGTGCATCAAGGGCCAAAAGTGTAGAAATACGTGCAATATTGCTGCTATCAATCATGCACACACTGTGCGACTTGGGCGTGTCGGACGCCGTGCTCGCCGGCGCAGCACGCGCTGCCGGACACCTGGAGGGCCCATGAGACCAGCGCGGCCAACGCGTGAAAGTGTAAACAACAGCTCAACAGGAATCCGCACGCCGCAAAAACCTGTATTTCACGCTCTCCCACGCCCCGAATGAAAACGTCAGAACCTACCAAACAGGGTAGGAATTTTAAGCGTTGGGGTGCTTCGCCGACGTGCGAGGCGGCTCGCCAACTCGCAGCAGCATCACCCATCGGAGCCGGCATCAAACACAAAACCCGGAAGTCCTAGTGACTGAACCACCTGCCATCCATGGCGGCGTTCTTGCTGCATTTTGTGCAGTACAACGCAGTGAAAACAGTATCGGCAACCGCCACCGGTCATGCGCCCTCCTGCCAAAGTTGCGTGGAACTATCCCCCAGCGGCCAGGATGAGCAGGCATCCAGCCGCACCCTTGCTCACAAGTGCGTGCAGTGCGCGAGTGCAATATGCAAGCGCTCCTTCAAAAGCGGGGCGCAGAATGCAGGGTGGGGTTTGTCGCCGCGCCGGTCGTGGTCGGCCGCTGGTTTGAAATGTTTGTTGTGCATGATCTGATGGCGCCCATCAAAACTGGCTCAGGTCGCGCCCAAAAACTTTTGCCTTCAACCTAAGAGGCGGAGGGTGGGGGGCGGGGTACATAGCCCGTCGGGCGGTGTGTCGCGATGTTTGAAGCTGTGCGTAAGCGTGGGGGCCAGGGTGACGAGCACGAGCGTCGGAGAAGAAGTTGGGTGCAGCGGCGGCGGCGATGGTCCCTTCGGAGGCGGCTGCGCGGCTGAGTGGCGTGAGTTGCGCGCGTATGCTCAGCAGCTCTCAGCAGCAACCTGTCCATGGACCCTCCTTGTGGCCCCTCATCAGGCAGCCTTGCCCGGACGGGTGCGCACCAGTCAAACAGGATTAGCACGCGGTTCCTGAAAGACACCTGCATGTGGTGGGCACGAGGGTGAGACAGGGCTGAATTGCGCGAGAGAATATGCCGCGCGTGCGTGAGGAGGAGGAGCGTCAAGGTGTCCCCACCGTGGGTGACCTGCGCAGTGTGGGGGTTCAGTCATAAGTTTGGCACGAAGGGAAGCGTGCCGCCCACTGCACCCGGCAACCGCAGCTGGCTGGAAGCGCGACGCAAGTGCATGGCGGAGGGTCGCGCAGGGGCAGCCCCTGATGCTGATCCATTACGATTTGGAATGGCTGCGCTCAGTGCGTGGCAGCAGCAGGGGATGCTGCCTCCACAACAATGTGTGCCTACAGCACCATGGCTGCTGCGATGCGCCCTGGCACGCGACTCAGCCTGGAGGCCTCGCCGCGCCATGCCGCTGGCCCCAGGCCCGTCGGCTGTCAATTCACAGGCAGAAAGCTTTTCAGCCCCGAAACGCCTTTCGAGCAACCTTCGTGCTGGCTTGAGGCTGCGATCCCGTAGCTCGCCGGTGGGGGCGTGCTGCGTGCAGCCAGCCGCGCGCGCGCCTGCTTGGTGATGTACACGGACCGCCACAGCAGGAAGGCCAGGGACCCGGCTACGTCGAAGCTGCTGTCCAGCACCTCGGCGCTGACCAGGGCCTTCTCGTTGCCTGCAGGGCCGGAGGTGCCGCCAGGTGAGCGGGGCCGGGTAGCGGCGGTTTCGAGGGGCGGAAGGGACGGAGGGGCAAGCGTGCATGCTCCCCAGGTTGCGGGGGCAAGGGTCGCGTTTTGTGTGTCAAAAAAACATGTTTTGGTGCCGTCAGTCGCGCATGCTGTCAAGCGCTGTGCACGGAGGGGGAAGGGATGGCACCGACGGACGCCGCAGCCCTGTCCTTGGACGGTAGCATGGCTCGACTCTGGCGATGCCTGCACCCCTTTGCGTCCCCAAACCCCTCAAAGAACACGCAGTGCAGGAAGTGCTGCGGGGGGCGGCGTGGCGGCGCACCAATGTAGGCCATCAGGCCAAGTGAGAGGAACTCGAACGGCTTCCGATAGTACGACACCCCGGGGGGCGCCTGGGAGTGGGTGAAGCAGGGGGCAGGTGGGTGATGCGTGGGGTGGGATGAGGTTCGCTGGTTGCCTCGGAGGGGGCCACATGCGCACACTGCCCCGCCGCAAGGGCGCCGCCGCAGGCCAGCCGGAGAGCAGAGCATGGCACCTTTAATAGTGTACAACCATGCCTTTTTGAATGCAATGTGTTCAACCCATCCTACATACCCAGCCCGTGCGTATTGCAACAGGTGCCCGCCAGCACTGTCCCTGGCCCACCTGCGCATACGTGCTGTCATTAGTCAGGTAGGCCAGCAGGTCCAGCTCCGTCAGCCGCGGCTGGTCAGACATGCGCGCCGCGTCGATCGGCCGCAGCTGCAGCGCCGCGGCGCGGTCCGCCTCCGACAGGTCAACACCAGGGTCCACCTGGCTTGCGGAGTAAACACGGATGTGATTGAGACATGCAGGCGGCAAGGTGAGCGTGCTGAGTGCCTCTCTGTGGCCCCTCTTGACAGGGCGTTGGCTGCGGCAGGCGCGGGGGGTGCAGCACGCGGGCTGTTGTTAAACAGCGAGCGTTTCGGTAAGCCAAAAATCGCTGCCCACGAGCTGCACGGCTGGGCGGCTGGCATAGCGGGCGGGCAGTGGGCTAGCCGGCTCCTGCACGCGCCTTCATGGGAGGTGGGACATTCAGGCCGCCCGTGTTGGGCTGGTAGCCGCGGTTGATCATGCGCGCCACGTAGGCGCCCTGGAGCGTGATGAGTCAGCTTTGAGTCAAAGAGTGGCCAAGGCTCAGGTCGTCCTGGAGCACGCGGCTGCACGGCTATGGCGCACCCAGGCACAAACTAACGTTGCAAGTAGGTTTGCAAAGATTTGCATCAGGCGCGCGCCGTCACCGCCAGAATGGACGCAAGCGCAGCCTGCATGGAGGCCTCGGCAGCCCTGGACAGCTAGGAGTTTAGACGCGTTCAGATGGGTGGGCACGATGGGGAGCTCACACCTGCTGGCCGGCGACCTGGGCCGTAGGGGGCAGCGGGGCCCCGAGCATCTTGCTGCAGTCGCCCAGCGCAATGATGTCCCTCGCCCCTGCAAAATTGAGCAAAGCGCTTTTGCTTGAGACGCCGACACCCAAGCAGGTGAAGCAGGGATGGGACGAGGATGCAGGGCCTGAGGGTGCATGATGAACAGGGGGTGCTTTGGAGGCGGACGCAGCTGCGCACGCCAGCTCGTATCAGGGGCCCTTGTAAGGCGGTCAGGAGGGCGTGCAGGCCTCAAGGGGCCCCTGATTTGTCCTTGCCCCCGAAACTCCGCTCAGATTTGCAACGGCAAACCTGTACGGTCACTTTGTCCTCACCGCGCCTTTCAAGGGTGCTGTGCGTGCCGCGCGACGTTTTCAAACCCCCGGCCCCTGCGCAAGCACCCTCACGCACATTGCTTCACCAGCAGAAACATAATGTGCAGCACACGAATTTCCACGCACGTCCTGGCAAGTATCCAGCTGTTGAGTGGGTCGTTTGAAACACTTGGGCATGGGCAGGGGTGGTTCACCTATGACACGCAGGTAGGGGTCGACCGAGAGCTTAACAGCGGCGGGGTTGGCAGCCTTTGAGAGCTCCACCTGCTCGGGGATGGCCCCCACCAGGCCGCGCACCAGCGGTCGCGCCGCGTTGCCTGCATGGGGGTTCGATCGGCAGGGGAGCAGGGAAGGTTGTAGTGCATGGGGACGCTGAGCGGCGTCGGCGCCGAGGGGCTGGCAAGTAAGGGCACGTGGCCGTCACTGCAACAAAGCATCATGTGTGTGGCAACGGTGGGAGGGACGTAATGGATTTTGTATTGCATGTGAGGTTCCCCATGCCATCGAGGCTAGCTGTGGTTGCACGCTGTCAAGCGAGTCTGGCAGCCTCCCAGGAGTGGGTGCGCACCCGAGGTTGCTGCACAAGTGCGCCTTGCTTGAAGGACTTTGAACAATCAATAAGCAGTTTCAGTGAGCGTGTCTGCCTCCCCCTAGCACCCCACCTGCGGACCACAGGCAGAGGCCATAGGGCATCTTCTCCTCAGCGTTCGTCTTGACGTTGCACAGCGTGATCTCGTCACGCGCGATCTGTGTGACCGAGGTTAGATCGAAATCCGCAGGGCAGGTCGGCTGTTGGAGCGACCTTTCAGGCAAGCAAGCTGGGAAGCAGTTTCACAACAGGGCGTGTGCATGGCGATGAAAGGCGTTACGCAGGCTCGATGCGCTGCCCAGCCGCCCACAAGGCCGCCTGTGAGTGATGCTTGGCACGCGCTCACCGCTGTGACCCTGACTCCAAGGCGAATGTCCACCGCCTGCTTTTGCATCGTCTTGATTGCCTGCGCCTGCATGGGGGCGCTGAACTGCGGGCAGGGCGGGGCCGGCCAGAGCGCGCATCGGGCAGCGGCAACAGCAGGTGGCTCCGTGTTGCACGTTGTCAGAATGAACACACGCGTGCCCATATCACAGCAAGGATCGAGGCCGGGGTGCCGTGTGGGTTTGTGATGAGTGCCAGCATGCACAGTTTTGGGGCCACTCACACTGCAGCAGCAAATCAGGCAATCCACACCTTGCGTCGCAGCATGCCTTTACGCAATGTGCAGGCGCCCACCGGCGTGCACACAGAACCACCCAGCCCCCCATGGGGGCCGGTCTCAACACGTGCACACCGTGGTGAGTATGGAGTCCATGTTCTGCAGCAGTGTCACCCGCACGAACCGCATGAGGTCGGGGTACTTGCGCGCGAGGTCAATGCGCAGGAAGTCAGACAGCGTGCCTGAGCGCAGGCGGGGGG